AACGACGTTGTAGGAGGTCTTTGAAATAATAAGTTGTGTCATTATTATTGTCGAAATCATCCAATTTTTATTAATACCCATGCTTTTTCGTGGGAATCAAAATTACCTACTTCAATCCAACCTTTACTTTTACAGAATTCATCTACTCCAATAATTATCGGATTAATTAATTTTCAATCTAAAATTGCGGTAGTAATCATCTGTACGGTTTGAATTTTTGTCTGCTTTACCGATTGAATCTGCAACTCTATCTGGAAGCTTAATCAAATATTTCACGGCAATTCAATTAAAATCGTGCAGCATTTATTACGTTTCGATAGCATCAAAATTCAGAATATTTGAAATTTACATTTACCACCCATAATAAAGTAATACATAACGCACTAATGATTCCGTAATAATTTATTTAAGCTGATTCATCGTTAAAGAATATTAAACCAAACAAATGTAGTAGATGAAACTTAAACTTCGAGGAAAATGTAGTCACTCTAATTCCACATACCCCCTCTATTTTTTCCAGGACATTCTTCGTTTAGGCGTAATCGTCGACACGATCTTATTGAACAGAGTGTATATTTATTTTTAGCTAAATAGAGATAACTTTCATTATTATTGAAAACAATTCCTGTATGTCGAAACACCAGGGTTTATGACCCTGATAGTCTAGATTTTCTAAAAGTTCAGTATTTACTATTCTAATTGTAAATTACAAAACATCCAGCATAATTCTAAAAATGACGTCAAAAAAGTTGTTTGACTTGGTAATGATTTATAATAAATACGCATTAGTAGCATATAAAACAAAGGAAATATATAGATGAAATAAGAGAGTGAATTATATAATTCTAAAGAGAAATGGAAGAGAAGGGATTTATTCAAACAAGCAGATTCGTAATCTTATGAGTGACGCCAGACGCAAAGCTGTTAATACTAATCAGCTTAGTGCTTTGCCAGTTTCGAGATACGTTAAGCTTGTCTGAAAAGCGAGTCACCTTCGCATCTTATCTTGTAAACGTGAAGATGACTTTATTTGAATTGTCAAATGCTCTTATATTCGTTGTCTCGTTGAGCTAGACATACTTGTCTACAGGAATTAGGTGCACACATGTAGTTTAAATATGTTGTCATGTTTTTACATTTCCTAGATAAATTTTCCTATTTACTTTACCAGTCGTGATTAACAATATTAACTGTAGTTGGAAGCAATTATTTTACATTATTAGAAAAATCTGAGACGCTGAGAACAGGCCTATCGCCATGAAAATGTAACTACTATCGATAAATAAACAAAAGTAGAGTATACACGTAAAATAAACAAAGCATTTATTGTATACTCGTGCTTCCTTAATTAACACATAAAGTGATAGTCAATGCAGTATATTATTTGAATGCATTATCCTATTCGGTAATTATACAGAATCAGGAAGCGACCTCTGATTTTAATGACCTTGAAATATTTAGTGAAGGTCATCATTCTGATCAACTTTTTCCTATACATATAATAGTCGGTCTCTTTCAGTTTTCGAAATATTCGCAAATCAAGTTAGTTTAAACCTATAAGTACAATTCTCCGCCAGCATTTGCGTTTAATATAGTTATATACGAGTCTCGTTTACATTTCACTATTTATTCTTAGTGTGAGTACAGTTATACGTGAATTTACACAGAAATTATGTTTTGAATGAAAAAACTTTTATTGTACACTATTGAATTAATTTTTGCATTGATAATTCCATGTGTGTATCACTATCTCAACCGCAGTCGGAATAAAGTATTTTATTTAAAATTCGAATCAAGTTTACTGCATATTAAAATATATTAATGCATTCAACGATTAAGTTTTGTTCTGATTGCAAAGATTCACTTAATAACATTAATGCAATCACTACTTTCAATGCTAATTAACTATGAAGTTCCAAGCCATTAACCAAGGCAGTAAGTGGCGAACAAGTTCCCCTCAAGAAGGCAGTTTGTGGAGCCAAATGAATTTCCTTTCATCTAATTATCCTAAAGGGAGCTCACCATCAACCCACTAGATTTTGCCAAAGGATCATTTAGATGTCGCGGCTGTTTGTGTACAAGACATTTTGATGTACCCGTGTGTCCAATTATGGCAACTTCATGAAACCTCTACGATGTTAACACATAGATCGTATATTTAATTTGGCAGTTAGTTATAACATACATAGCAGCACAAGAAATTCAAGTAATAAATTTATTTGGTATTAGCGAATGAATATAGGTATATACTTATTATGGTGGCCCTTGTTTTGTAATTTTTTAATTTTCTATCCCACCCCTCAATAGTTTCAATTCATAAAAAAATGATTAATGTATAATTTAAACTCGACAGAATAGCGAAAAAGCATGCCTTAAGATCCTTGAAATTTTGTATGTGAAACTAAATCCCTGCAGCTGCATCAGTATTCTGAGTCTTTTGCCGCAGTTATCCAGTTACCTGCTTGCTCTTTCTATACGTATTTATGAATATACAGTGTACCTTCCAGTACCAGTACTGCTGAAAACCATTGTAAATTGTACTAGTCCCTGCAGCTACAACATTTAAAGTATCCAATCCTCGTTTAACTTTTCTAGAGTTAATAGAAAACTTTGTTCACTTCCAAAATTTCACAGATTGAGTAATGGCTTAAAGTGTTAGTTTGAATGACTTCATATATATTTCCAATTTTACGACCACTCATTTAGCAAGTTTTTTAATAATCAATTCCAGATATACAGGGTGTAACAAAAATGTTGCAGGTCCCTGACATGGGTCACTCGTAAGGTGATTTAGATCAAGTTTTTTCTTAACAAAAATATTATCCCAGGCTTTGTTAACAATGGATTAACGAAAAATCCCGACCAATTGGAGCGCGAGTTTGTCGACCGAGCTCCCGCGGTAGCAGAGTTGGGCATCAATCATTGAAAATTTTTAGTTTGATTGATTGATTGATTCCTACGATTCAAAAATTAATCGTCAAATAATTTGCTATTAATTTGATCAATTGATGGAGTTAATCGTCAATCGCTGACCAGAGATGGGTCAAATTTTATTTAAATAAAAATGTCAAATAACGAATAAAATATAAAAGAATTATTCGACGTATGACAAATAATTTCTTAGGCAACGTATTTCTCTAGGTAATGTTTTAAATAATCTATTAGAACGATATGACTTCTGTGCTGGATATAAGTAGAAACGGCCTGTAAAAATAAACAGATGCACTAGTGAAGTATTATTCTATTTTCCGTGTATCCAATAAATTTTCAAGTTCGATTATATCGAAAATGAAGCTGCACCCGAAGAATTTGTATAATTTTTTTTCAGCTTATTTTTTCTTAGGGAATCACCTTCTTCCAAGTTGTACTACCAGACCTGAGATACTCCATATACGAAACTGTAATAAACCACCAGTGAAAGTATTATCTGTAGTTTCAGTTGTTTTAGAGTTTAGAGGAATTAAATTATGGTACTTTATATATGAGCTACTGTGTACAAGCGTAATATCGTGCGAATGACATCTGCAATAAATTTAGTTATAACCAACATACATCGCAAGAGATGTGAGTGTTTTTGACGTTTAGTGACAGAATAAATTTCTGTCAGCGGTTTACGTCTTTCTTCTAAATATATATGAATTTATGCACAATTTATTCACAATATTTGAAGGTTTACAATTAATAGTTATAATCATTCTCGCGATAATATTACACTACACTTTTCTGACTTTTGTTTTTTTATTGTAATTTTGGAACTGACTTGTAAATTATTTAATAAATTATTCTTCGTTAGGATAACATGAGTTTATCAGTTGGCCAATATTCGTACTAATTTTCAAAGAAATCAACAATCACTTCGGGATTCTCTTTTGTAAATATAGCATATTTAACCTTAGAACAGTAACATAGTGCCATATGTGACACCAATGAAGTAACTAGTTGTAAAGTTCTTGATAAAATTGCAAATGTATGAGGTTCTGTAATATATATTTATTTGATGTGACATATAATGACGTAGGTAATAAGTGAATTTAAATATACTACTTTTACCTGTAAAAAACGTAAGCTTATACTTTTAGTAACGCAACACACATTTTATAATCTATACTTAAAATATCATGATAAACTTGAGGTTTCGTATAGACAAATTACATTTTTTCAGTGTAATCAATACAAATTGCTAGTCTGTGTTGATTACATAATACACACTTGCATTTAACATATATTTTTCATACCGTAACGTGAGGTTATATGTGATACATATCCAATCAATATTCAATGCATACACCATGGGGATGTGGAATTTAGATAGATCCGATCCAAACACAATCCAACAAATATCTTCATAACCGTATATGAACTCGGAGTGCACTTTGCTACTTTTTAATCACTAGTATTTACTCGAAATGTATAGTAAGCTAATTACAATTTATTATGCCTTATTTCATAGCATCTGTAACAATGGTATTATTGCTTGGGGTGAAGGATATGATAATGTGTTGAACTCCTTACAAACTATGTCAAATAAATTATTAAATACATTCATGAAAAAGTTAGATAGTCTCAAATTACCTCTAATATTTACACAATCTTTTACTTTAAAAGCTTTAATTTATTATTATAAAAATCTTAATAAGAAATATGTACAAGCAGATGGTATTACTAGGAATAAAAATATAATATTACCAAAGATAAATAAGACTATTAGTAGTACCTAAGAGTAGTAAGATATCTGCAATTTTGGCAATACAAATTATATTTCCGTTTTGAATGAGTAACTGCGTAACATGACGTGTATTTAACAAATCCTGTATGTTTATATTTTGTTCGACGAATATGTAGAATGCTCTACTTTCAATTTTTAAATAATCCTAGTCTGTTTAAGATTAGGAAAAGTTGTTAGTAATTATGTAAAACTTTGACAAGCTCAGTAGTATGTACCATTGTCATAAACTAGATATTATGCTATTAAATAAATGTGTCATATGAATGTATTTCAGCTTGTAGCTCACGAAAGGCGACTGTCTACTTCTGCCTCACGAACAATGGCCGCAATGAGTTTAGGATTCATTGTAATGGTCACACCATGGACGATCCAGGAAGTTGTTGCAGCTTGTACCGGAAGCAAACCACCGCCATTCCTTGACTTTCTTGCCACGTGGCTTGCCCTATCCAACAGCTTTTGGAATCCATTTCTCTACTGGTTATTCAACAATCACTTTCGCCGGATTTCCAGAGAACTTCTTTACACTAAAGTAAGTACAAATAATCATGTATTGAATTAATGCATCCATATAGAGCTATTCCACAACAATGATTTCCTGTACAAGAATTAAAAATCGTCTAATGAAATTCAAATTCGTAAAATAAAAATAAATTAAATTCTTCTAATCGTGCTTTAACGAACTTCTTGTAATGGCATCGCCATCTTCATCAGATTTTACAATCAGCAATTGTTTTCCATTGGGAAAACCTTCATTTAGGGTATTAATTTTATAGCTCATAATTGTAGTTATATGCATTTTGTATAAGTTATACACGTGTTCGATACCACGTGTCAGAAATTGTAAGAGGTGATTCTACATTCTAAGCTACTACGAAAATCCAGAATAACGTATGTACGTTAAGGGTTCTTTTCGGTGTTATTTCTTATTCCCCTGAGCCTTTTGTGGGGCTGCTTTTGACAGCTGGCTTACGGGATCGGTCGGTGATTTCCGGTCGAAGATACTATACTGTGTCGCATATAGACCATCAAAGTACATACATATGTATATACAGTAAATCCTCGATGAGTGTTTGAACGCTTTTCGGCACTGACAAGGAGAGGTCCCCTGGCGCAATGATATTTGTTTCGGGCGCATATGGTCATTAGTTTATGAAATATTTAATGTTCCGTGCCGAGGAGCCTTCCAACACTCATCGAGCATTTACTGTATAAGGTAGAAGGGGGTAATGGCAGTCATTTAAGGAATAATTGTATTAAAATCAAATATGAGATAAAATATTTATTGCAAGTTACTGTTTACAAACTCAAACTATATTCAACTATTAATTAAATAACAAAATAATCATTTTGAGACTCATCTTTTGGATAAAATTAACAAGTAAACAAACAATGCTTGCGACTGTTAATTTGTACATGTAATTAATTGATTACTTAATTCGTCAACCATGTTAAAATTAAATTAAATTGTCTTATACGCGTAAAGTATAATATCGGTGACATGTAAAAACAAAGAATGTTTGTAATTCTCGAATGCGAGAGAGTTTCGAGGAGTAAGCAACAACAATTGCCTTAAGGACTTCGTTTTGTAATAATAGTACTGACCGTTATGCTCGAATTTATAAAATCAAAGAAATTATAGATGCTTCAAAGAAGATGGCACACAGATCGCAGTGCCATACATAGCTTTAAACGCAGTCTTTTCGGAACCGTATTCCTTAAAATGGCTGACACGATACCTCAAATTCCAATTGACTTCACATTTGATGAACACCAGGGCTGCCGAACTTCTTCCTCGCCAGGAACTGCATTAACCCCAATCTCAGTCAGCCGGTTCCCCCAACATCACCGGGGTAGCCACCACTATACAGGGTGTAACAAAAATGTTACAGGTCCCTGAGATGGATCACTCGTGAACGGATTTGGAGCAAGTTCTTTCTTAGCAAAAACGAGGCTTTTGATGTTAACGAAAACCTCCGATCAATTAATGTCGATTTACACTATACGGCACAGACCGTCACGTACCGTCACCGGCACGGACCGTCACAGGCACGACAAAATATTGAAACATGCGTTTTAAGTGTGACTGTCTACATTGTCCGGCACCGACACGCAACGTTCCGTCAACGGCACCGACACGCAACGTTCCGTCAACGGCACCGACATGTGACGTTCCGTCAACGGCACGTACCGACGCTGCTGGCATTCTCACAAAGAATGTCTTGCCGATACGCGACGGTGCGAGTCGGCGCTGATCTGTCGTTGTGAATTAATAAACAGTTGTAAGCGGGCCATTCCATGCCAAATTGATTACTTTTGGCAGTATGTTTTTCGATTTTAATGAAACTGCAATATGTACATACACGTAAGGGCTTATTGTTAGTTCTTTTATTTAACACTCTGTATACTAAATTTATTTCGGACCATCTCATTGTCAGACATTCTGCATAATGATACAAATCTGTATTAGGTTTATAAAGAATATTAAATATATAATAACATTTTTATTTTCACAGTTTTCTATTAGTTATGATTTGACCAGAATAAACAGTATTTAGTTAGGTATATTCACTAACTTGATATACATATTATGTACATACGTTCATTACGTTATAAAATAATTTAGATTCCTAAATTATTAATGTGCCCCCCCCCCCCTATTATTGTGTTTCTCGATAGACGAGAAGTAACGGTGTTGCAGTCGTAAAAAAAATATTCTACCGCAATAAAACGACCACGAAAAGTTAGATTTATTTGATCGAATACGCTTTACGTGAAACGACACGGTGCCAATAGTCTCTACAATTTAACGACCTCCTTTTTCTTTGTGTACTGCGTCCATTTTCCTGCTGTTTACTGATTCAGCATGTCACTGCGATACGTTACGTTGACCCTTGCAGTAACGACCATATATCTTGGTGGTTCGACTTTACAGCCCATGAATTCCGAAAGGCTTGTCGGTATCTCGTAAATTCTACTCTCCCTAGAATCGTTTGCGTTTACACTGGCTTACTGCTGATGTGCCTATATGTTAGGCGTCATCATCATCATTCATTGAAATAACGAATAGAAAATTACTTCTGCTGTCCTTATATTTGGATTAACCATTCTAGGGACTTAGTTAATTTTATAATAAACGTGCGGGGTTCATAATTAATATAGTACTTTAACACGCATATTCTAGTTTTTTTGGTAGAAAAAAAATTGATTGTACGTGTAAATAGTAAATAGCAACTGCTTTTTTCTGATGTGTAATGATTAGACTGCGGATTTTATGCAATTGTAGCTCATAGGGCTCTGTGAAATATGATACAATACACCACAAAACTTTCATCGGATCCAATAATTTCTCTATTTTAGTCTGAACATAATAAGATACTTAGGAAGAAAAATAAATTTCTTTCATTTGCTTCATTTAAATATATTTTTTAACAGATATTTTACGGTAAATTATCAAAGTTAAAACTATTTTTTCAATTAGCACTATTTAAGTAGCATTACTCAAGGAACTGAAAGCAGGATAAATATGAAAGAGAAGTAATATATTAATGCACGTGTATCCATACCTGTATTTCGATGCACGTGAAATAGAGATCTCTATCATGTAGCCTCGGATTACATTCTTGCTAAAGAAAAACTTGTTCCAATTCACCCCCCGAGTGCCCCATTTCCGGGTTGGACAACATTTTTATTACACCCTGTATATGTATATTCTAAATGTTCCGCTATGCAAACGGACATCGGAGCAGCGTGGGGACAGCCCACCACGCGACAAACTTGTGCCACCCGAAATTGATCACGCGCATTATATCTAGCGGAGCCGGAAAAATTAAGGTTTTCTCCGCAACAATTTTTTCCTGACGAAATTATATGACAGACATATAATCAGGGAAAACCCACTTGTGGCCTTTGAAAACCTTTCTTAACCGTATCATCTGTCACAACAAAATTTTGTGTTATATAAAAATGATAAAGTTGGTCATTTATGCGGTCCACTCTGCGTACATATAATAATACGATTACTATACCAATTAATGTGACTGCAAAGCCACATTACTAACGAGTTATTATTTTAACCTCATATAATATTACAGTAGGTAGTAAATTATAATATCTCGTGGTAACGCCAACTGTTAATTAACTTTTCACGTACTAATTTCTCATAGATAATCTAAATAATTCGTACTTCTTCTGTTTCTGTAGATATTATGTAGACCAAAGCCATTGGGGTCGAAACAGCACTGCTGCGCGACCAGCACAGGTGGTCTTGATGTTTGCAGTATGGGTGGAGTTGACTTATCAGGTACGTAAAGTGTAAAAAATTACCTTTATAACATGTGGAACACAATATTTATGATTTACAAAAGAAACATTCAGAAAATAAATTTTGTTAATTAATTATTTACCAAAAGTTTATTACCAAAGATGGCTTTCTTTCTTCAGTTCGTTTAAGTGCGCGTTAGAGCGGGTAAATCAGAATGTATGAATACATGAAAGACAGGAGAAGGCAGATTACTCTTAACGTATTTTCCACTGACAATAAGAATGAATGATACTTATGTCTTATTAACTTTCGTATCTTCTAACTCATTTTTACTTTTAACGTTGATGTTTTAAATACCCTCATCTTTCATCACATTTAGTCGTTTGACGTTCACGGTAGACCGTCTAAAAACTACCATCTTTTGCGTAAACTCCTCTTTTGGAGGTGTCAGCCTAAGGACTGTCGGAACGACTCACTTCTCTACGGAAAGGACTCGTTTTATAGAGTTTCACGTGTCTTCCGTCGCCGAGTTAGTACTTTCTGAAGGTAGAGTTTTACAATCACCTGTTTCTCACTGGTCCAGACGACCTTACTTGACCTTATTACGATTACAACTCAATCTTTCTTTTAAACTACATGGTGTCCGTTTTAATTGGATCCGATGGACTATCTCGTAAGTTATTGAAGGCATAAAAAAATGTTGTTATAAAAGGTGTTTGGTATAAAGTAGGGCATAATATGGTGTAAATAATCTTTTTATAGATAGAATAATGGGGCAGGTTTCAAGGTCAAGTTAATTCTGTTAAATGGACTATTATATCTTTTTTATTCATAATATGATAGCATTTGTTGAGTCTAATTCAACGATGGTCGTACAAGGTCATTGTATGTAGTATCAGGTTGTAAATTAGTGTAATTTGAAGGAGACAGATCAATGCAAATCATAGGTCTGGCGCGACTCCGTACTCCGTAGCACGATTACGTAGGGTTTAGAAGCACACGACGTGTGACCACGATGATCCACTTCTTCGAATTTCAATCTAAACAAACGCTATTATACTATGGATACAAAAATATAGAACTCCGTTTAAAAAAATGGACTTGACCTTGAAATCTCCATGCCCCACTACGCTAAGTATAAAAAATTATTTATACTACGTTATGTCCCCCTGTATATCAAACAATTTTTACGTCAACATTTGTTTAATACCTTTAATTCCTTACGAGATTGTACACAGAGTCCAATTAAAATAAACATTCTATACAGGGTGAACCACGAAACGTGATCACTTTAGATTATTCTACTGCTAGCTGTTCGATCAAAATTTTGTATAACACGATTCTAAGAGAGCTTTAAGATGATTGCACTATATTTTTTGTCAACCCGTTTTTCCGGAGTTTTCAAGGTTACCTTCAGCTTTTTTAATAGATAAACCTATAATTTGTTAGGCCTTTACGATCTTTTAACAGATACTGAGACGAATTCAACAAGCATTCTAACAAATAAATTTTTTTCTTTAAAACCAAAGAAGCATTGAGAAAATATCATTTACTTTAATTAAAACGATGTTCAAAATAGTGTCCATCAGCTACACTGGTAAGTCCAATGGAATACTTTTAGAGAGCAAACTTTTTTCTTTAATCTCGTTTTTTTAATTTTGTTGTACAATTTTTATTGGCTGAGTTATTCGTCATCATATGAGAAAAGGCACTTTCCATTTTGAGCATCTGTAACTTGCGAACACATGATCGTATGGAAAATTCCAAAAGAATTTTGAAAAGCTGGCAGCACCTCTCGATCGAAGCGTACTCCCAGATAATTTGTCTCGACAATCCTAAACAATTAGTATTTATATTATTTGAATGTAATAAAATGTAATCCTAGAATGAGAAAAAGTTATAAAATACACTCTGTAAGAGAATTAGAAGGTGGGATAATTTACACTCTCAACATCTTTCTCTATAAATTTGTCGGCATTGAAGAACTCAATGCTTTTTAAATATTCCAAATCTGACTTGCATTACAAATTAATCAAGTATTAAAAGCTGACGACGATGTTTCAGTGAATATGTCAGTTAATACATAGCACTATTTTTAGAAATATGTAAATTAACCGTGTCCGTTTCTTCTAGCGGTTTATGCATCGATTCTGAATAGAAACTAATGCATCACAAACTCATTATACGTCAAACGCAGTTAGTGGAGCTAACAGATGTGCAAACTTGGCCTCCATTTCATACACCCTATGCATCATAGACTCAGTCAGGTGTCGTACGGTAGTCGAAAATTCTGTAAATACAGAAATGCATATGACGCCACAAATTATCACGAACATTTCTTCAAATTATTGTAGACATATCAAAAGTGCAAATGCATTTTACAAGTGCACGTATTCATTTGTGAAAAGAATCATAAAGTTGGATTTTGGAGCTTGTTGAACAATGCAAAATTTTCCACTACCATCTTTTTCTAACTTCACTTGGAACACAGTTATAACCTGGTTGAGTTGTCAAAATCACCCTGTATAAGAGAAATAGCATTGCGAACCTCGTCGTGAACATTATCGCGAACAAATTGTTCGTTTGAACGGAAGTCCGTAACCGCGTCGGTAGAACAATATTCACGACTTGGTTAGCGATTCACGTGTACATCCCGCTTCGAAACTAGCACCGTTATGCGAGATCTGTAATATCGATTCGGTCCTTGCTTTATTACTGAGGGTAAAACTTTAGTTCCCGAGCTTATTTACCTATCGCTCGTACTATCTACACCGGTAAATTTTGTGGTAGAAACTTTTCAACGCTGCATGTCATTACACAAATTTCAAACATAAATAATTATCGTCAGTGGTACTAGTATGTAAATCCGTTTGAAATAGATTCTTCGTTTCGGTTAACATAAAAATCACTTTCAAAATAATTAGAATAAATTTATTTCAATTCTTTAATTTTTGAACGTTATTTTGTGTACAATGAGATAAGTATACAAGGTGCCCCATGTAAAGTGTTATAAGCTGTTTTCTCCGAAACTATTACAGATATCGAAGTGAGGTTTGTATTAGATTAAACGTTGCCAAGGTGCTAACCTAACCATCTCAGCTATGGGGTTGTAAGGAATAAAACGAAAAAGACTGGAATATTTAAAATATAAACATAAATTATAATAAAAGGGCCAGAAGTATTTCAAATCAGAAATTAGTACGGTATAAGAACTTGTTTAATTGCATTAAAATGGAAAATCGGATTGCAAATTGACATCGTACGCCCCTTAACGACGGTCGAGTACAGTTTTTACAACTTAAGGGTATCGAGTGACAAGGCTAGGCTACCAAAACACAAACTTTAGGGTCGATTAGGTTTATCGCTAACGCTATATTTTTGAATCAGCTATACTGCTTTCGTGGAGCGGGCCTTCCGACTGATTTTACAACTAGGCACTTTGCGGGTGACCGAAGGCCCATTGATGAAACCGCAACCAGGGCCGTGCGTATTTTACAGAAGTATATTTACTTTACATTTCAGGCCCCTGTCATCTCTTGCTCAGTAATATGTAATTTACGTATTAATAAAGGGTAAAATATAATTGTCAAAGATTAGGAAATATATAAAATTATTGCAAGTTAATAAAGTAAATAAATTGTTGCAAGTTAAACATTCATTTACGACGAATATGTATTTGCACGAATATAATAGCAACTCTATATACGAATATAATGGCAAGTTAGTTTCTTTCAATCTTGAAAGGTAGATGACGTGTAATAAAAGCGGAATTTCTGAAGGGATAGTTCAAAAATAATAGTAACGGGTTGGGTACTACAAAAAAGGCGTATCGTAAATATAAATTTACTTATTTACTCCAAATAATATATTTTCATGATTTTTTATGTGCGTTCATGCAGAAAAACAAAACATCGAGGAGGAAAAACTTGCTTTTAACAATCTGTCGACACATATATGTAATTTTGTATAATGTGTGTGTATTTTGTGAAAAACAGAAATTATGTATTTGTATAACTTATTTTCCAAATTGTATGTTTACCAAACTTTTCTCAAATATATCAAAAAAGAAGAAACAGTTTCGTGTTGACATCCTACGGCCCTGAACGAAGTTCGAGTACCATAAAAGTCTCACATTACGGGTATTATGGCCAAACCTAGTGCCTAGTTGTAAAATCAGTCGAGGGTCCCGCTCCACGAAAGCTGTTTCACCGACAGTAGATTTACTTTACATCTCAGGCCCCCCTCATCTCTTGCTCAGTAATCTCTGTAATGTATACTCGCGCAGGGTTCGAAGAGTCACTAGGATCGGCCCATTGCTACCTAGTTTTGAGAGCTATGGAGTCGAACGTCGTGAAATCCAGATCCTTCGTCTCCTAAGGTGAGTACCAGCTCACATTTGTCTTCACCCACAAACTGAGCCTGTACAAATGAGGGTTTCATCATTGTACAGCACCATTGAGAGAGAGCTACCTGACTATGTCCCGAATACTTCAGGATCACCCCCTCCTCTGTTTTCCCCGCTGCCAATTTACCATTCCCGTCCCATGGGATTGGGATGGAGCTGTAATGCTCGGGATAGATGTAAATAGGGGCGCCATGTGGAGTGATAGATTTACCTACATATGCGAGTTGTATCCTTCTTTTCACATTTTCTTTCGACGTGCTATAACTTTTTAACTATGCGCAATACGAAAAAATGTTTCAAGCAAATGTAGTATTTTATGATCCTGCGGTAGCACGTAGCCAACGTTAGCGCAGGAGCTCAGCCGGCAAACTCGTGCTCTGATTAGTCAGGGTTTTTCGTTAATATCTCGTTAACAAATCTTCGAAGAATTTTTTTGTTAAGGAAAAAGTTGTTTCAAATCACCCCAGGAATCACCCCTTTTAAGTACTTACTATTTTGGGACACCTTGTATATGATAATAAAACATTAAATATCTCGTTAACAAATCTTCGAAGAACTTTTTTGTTAAGGAAAAAGTTGTTTCATATCACTCCAGGAATCACCCCTTTTAAGTACTTACTATTTTGGGACACCT